GTTCCAAGTTTCAATGTTCTACATAAAATAGGTCATAAGATATATACACACCAAGCTCAAAGAAACAGAAATATTGTAAAAAAAAAAACTCAAATTTGAAAAATTCACGAATTTCAATTTTGCTTTAAAAAATGATTGTTATAAATCACTTGAAAGAGCATGAAAAGCACATTAAGAATCCGAAAAAATTAACCCTCTAGGTTAATTAGGTCACGTGCTAGAGCAGTCCAAAGTTGCGAATTTGGCTGTTTTCGGACAGCTATAAAACCGGAAGTACATGTCTGAGGTCAAATGTCAAAGTATTAACTGATAGCTAAGGTTAATGACCTTTGACTTTATGAAGGTCAAGGTCATCAAAGGTCAAGATCACGAGATATGACCCTTCAAACTTTGAAAAAATTCAACCGGATGTTGCAAAAAAGCAAAACTTGAGAATCGAAAAACGGCTTCCTAATGTCATGTTTTTTTTTTTATCTTCTTTCATTTGACACCAAAATCATTCTTCGTTTTTTTTGTCATAACTTTGTCTACCTATCAGCATAAAATTTTTTGTCCTATACAAATTACACCAGAAGATGTTCAACCGGAAGTGAACATCAATTTCCTGTTTTAACCGAGAGTGAAATTGAAAATTATGTTAACATTCTTAAACTGTCTTTGCTAAATTTTTTTCAGATTAATCAGACAAAAAGCAAAAAAAATGAAAAAAATGCAAAATTTGGCAAAAAAAATGTCTGCGACAAATTTTCGAATTTTGAAATTTTGAAACTGCTATTCTTTCAGATTTTGACAGTAGATTCCAAAAATGCAAACCCAAAGAAAATCGACCGAAAAATACGACTTCTAGAGCCGATTATCTATTCTTGCACATATTGAACTGTGGCACTTCCGGTTTTGCAAAAAAGATCCAAAATATATTTATGCACATCGTGGCCTATATCTAAGGTTCGTGAATGTTGAATGGTTGCTGCAACTATTGTAGTCTAAGCTCAGGAAGTGTAAATATCAAAAAAAAAAAAAAGAATTGACATTTCGATAACAAACTGGGACAAAGTCCCACAATTAAGGAACTGAAAAAAATCACACCCTTGTGTTTATAAGTGGGAAAAATGTGAATTTTCGGTTGGCTATAATCAAAGTTGATATTGTTTACCTTCAGATAACTGAGGTCAAGGACCTACTGAACTAAAAAGGATTAAATTCAAATTCAAAATTCTGTTCCCAACAAGTTTTAGATAAACACAAATCATACAAATCAGATAAAAAATGGCAAACTTATTCAAATATTTTATCGACTTGTTCGAATTATATATTGTAGATAATCTGTATGGTTTATGTAGACATTTGTGGATAACACAAATTTTTTATTTGCATTGGCATTCTGTCTATATCTCTAAAGTCAGATTGATGCAATAATTAGCACCCAAGTCTAAAATTTCAAAATATTTCTTTTTTTTTGATTCTGGTTAGAGCGCACAGTCAAAACTGCATATGTCACACATTAATTGTCATCTTTATCTGTCATTTAATGCGTGTCGTTGATGTTTAAATGTAAAATAACGTAGAATGTAGCAAGTCATTACCTCTTTCGAATTACTGCTCTAATTCTGAATCTTTTTTTGATCAAATTTTTGTTTTGTTCATTTCTTTTCAATAATAGCTAAATGATAGCACTTTAAAAATTTCAGATTCTGACTTGTTGCTGACTCTTTTTGTTTAAATTTTAGCGTTTTTTTTTCAACTTCTACAATTTTGTTTCAATTGATCTATATATAATATATATAAGTAGATAGACATTTTGATAGCGAATATGTTTTCATATTTTTTTATCACTTCCGGTTTTGACATCATTTGCTTCTAAAGTTGAAATTTCCACTTCCGGAATTTTATAAATATTTGAATTTTTTTGAATCAGTGGTTAATGGGATATACATCATTTCAATGTCTATACCATCAGCAATCAATTCTTAACCAAAGTGTGGGAGCCGAATTTCAATTTTGTTTTTTAGTTATTTCTGGTTGATTTTTTTCAATTACTCGTGACCTTGACATTTGATGACCTTGTGACCAGCACGTAAATTGTTGCCCATGGCGAGATCTATCCAGAAATAAATGTTCCCATTTTTATTATGCAACGTTACTTCCATTTTTACAGCCATTCGAAAATCGTCATTTTTAACTTTGAATAGCTCTGTCATGTGACCTAATTAACATATGGCAAAATTTCTTTTATATTCTTAAAGTGCACAATCTCCTTTTTTTGGTGGTATATCACACTTGTTATTTTGATCAAAATTGCGCTTATTAAAATTTTAAAATTTTATACCGACTTCTATATAGTAAATTTTAGTAACTGTGCGTAAATTGGTTTTTGTTGATAAACTCAAGTCTCTGAGATAAAACAACAAATATCTCATTATGTAATAAATGTAGACGTATTTTTGAACATAATTCAACAATGTACAGATGATGATGTATATAACAAAATTTTTGATGTGGGCATGGCACATCCGGGTTAGATTCACATTTACCTAACTTGATCAAAAAATTTTATAACAAGCAAAGTATGCATTTTTCAACATTTAAACTTTGCATCAAATAGTACCCTACCTTGGCCAGTTCCTAATAAAGACACGGTTTTCTGGGTTTTATATTTTAAAAAAAAAAGGAGTACGTTATGTAATCTACAAAATTTTATTTTTTGACCTTTTACTTGGATTAAAGGTCAAAGGTTATTGATCTAGGATGATCATTCATACTTTGATCTTTGATGTCCGACATATACTTCCGTTTTTACAGAGGTTCGAAAAAAAGCAACTTTCAAAACTTATAAAGAGAATTAAAATTTATGAGAATAAAAATGCTAATACTTATATGAATAGAAAGTAGAGGTTTTCTTATGACATGGAAAAATACCAGTTTGTCTCACATGTCCATAATTAATTCATTATTAGCCTAATAAAAAGGGAACTAACAGCAGAATTCCAATGGGTGACCAATCAAGAAAGTTTAAAAAGTCTTTTTTTGTTTGTTTACGCGGACTGCACGTATATGACCATTTATGATTGGTTTAAACTTTAAATTATATGCAATGAGAACATAATATGATGATATAATTAAGAATACATGATAAATTATTAGAAACACCAATTAATCAAACAGTTTCAGTTTGCTTAATTTAACACTAAAAAATAAGGAAACCCATCTTTAAGGCTTAAATCTCTTTTATTTGACCTTTGTTGACCTCATGACCAGAACAAAAGTTATTGTGCTTTACGTGCTTGACAAGACCTATTCAAATATATGTTCATTGTTGTGTGATTTTTACTTCCGGCTTTACAGCTAATTGAAAATTAGTTTTTTACGTCCGAATGTTAACATGCTTTTTTCTGTCAGTAAAAAATCCCACTGTGAATACGCACTGCATGGGTACCGTCCATGGTTCTTGTTAATAATTGTTTTCATTTTTATACTCCCACATGAAATAGGGGCGTTTATTGTCGTCACCCTGTCCGTCCATCCCCCGGTCTGTCCGTCCGCCGGTCCGTCCGTCAGCCCGCCAGTCCGTCAGTCCGTCAGTCAACAATTGCTTGTAAGCACTCTACAAGGCACAATTCTTGATTGATTTTGACAAAACTTGATATGGTTGTTCGTAATCAACCAAGGATGAGCCCTATCGAAAATCTGAAAAATCAAAAAATATTTAGTATAAGTTATTGCCCTTGTTCTTAAAACGCTTGTAAACACTCTAGAAGGCGCAATTCTTGACGGATTTTGATGAAACTTGATGAACCTATTGAAAATCAGAAAATCGAAAAATAATTGATATGAGTTATTATTTGCCCTTGCCTTGTTCAATTTTTTTTATCTTGTAAACGCTCTAGAAGGTTCAATTATTGACAGATTTTGACGAAACTTGGTGGGAGTGTTTGTTGTCAGCTAAGGATAAAATTGAAAATCAGAAAAATCAAAAAATAATTGATATGAGTTATAGCCCTTGTTCTTGAAGATGCGTTCAATTTGTAGCACATAAACACTCTAGAAGGCACAATTCTTGATGGATTTTGATGAAACTTGGTGTGAGTGTATGTAATCACACAAAGATGAACCCTAACGAATATCAGAAAATCGAAAAATATTGTTGCTCCTGTTGTTAAAAACATGTTCAAGTTTTAGCCTGTAAACACTCTAGAAGGCCCAATTCTTGACAGATTTTGATGAAACTTGGTATTATTATTCAGTATCGCCTCAAAAAACTCAAAAGAAGTGTATGTCTGAAGTTTGAATATTTCATACTGGTAATTGTAATTGCCAAATATTATTATTTAAAATCAAAGCTGCCAGTTGGTGTATATAACTTTGCCTGGCAAGCTATCTTTTTTTTTTTTAATTGCAATTGATACATCTTGTTACAAAGAGCATAAAAAAGAGGCAAATCAGTCCACAAATGAACTCTACAGACTCAACAACAATTTTTATTTCGCACATTCATTTTCTAATCTAATACTCTTTAAAGGGACAGGTTTACCAGTAATAGTGTCCATAATGAGCCATCAAATCCATGTTTGATTAAAATTATCCACGTTTGAAAGTTAAAAGGACGACTTGTCTTTTCTTGAGAATCTGCCATATATAGAAAAGATATATATATATAAATAAAAAGATTTTGGACATGTTCGAATTAGATGATTTTAAGATGAACTGTTTTTGAGTTATTAGGAAAAACGCAGAATACCCCTTTATTACAATTGTAAGATAAAAACAAATATCTGTTTCCATCTGCTGCAAAGTCTATAAAGAAAAATAATATACCTATGTCTGGGTCAATTTTAGTTGTAGTTCATCTCACTCCTGTTATCTTCAACAAACCACGTTCCTTGTGAGTACATACTGTACATCCTTAACTTAACTAAGGAATATTTTATTATTTGAATTTTAAATAGCTTGTAAAGCATGAGTATTTTGTCTTATTAAAGGGAAGTAATTTAGCTGATGAGGTAATGACATTAAAGAATAAACTGGTTGAATTAGAGGAGGAGAAAGGACATTTACAATTAAAACTGGTTGATTATGATGAGCAAAAATCTGTGCAGGGTGAGTTATTCATTTGACACACATGAAACAGTATACATTGAGCATGATTTCTGAACATGATCAATGAGATGTCTGTTACACAGTTCAGTTTAAAGGAATAGTCAGCTTTGAGAATACATCGATACATGCAAGCTGCCATTATTTAGTGTCCTGATTCAATAATATTACATGCCAGCCATATTGCTTTGTTTGTAATTCTGATTACAACATGATGTCATATTCGCGCATATTTATGTTTTGAAATGGCAGCCCCCCATGAAAGATTAATTTCGGCCGAAAATGACATCAAAAGTCATTCTGTTTAATTATGTTGGTTTTAATGTTGAAACATTATTATTTTTTAAAGGGTTTTTTACCATAAAACTGACTATAAAAGCTGACTATTCCTTTAAGAATGATTGACATATATTGCTGTTCGTCCGTTAACATTTCTTGTTGACTCGATAGAACTTACACTTTTTATCTGATCTTAATGTAATTTGTTATATATTGATGAGTTGGACAAGTTTGAATTCGGTAATTATCGGTTGAACAGTTGGACGTTGTAGGCATGGTAGTGGCTGCAGTTTTTTTTCGGATCTTGATGTAACTTGGTATATTGCATACGTATATATTGATGAGATCTCAGTCCCGTTCAAACTAGGTAATTATCTAAGAACGGTTTTGAAGTTTTTGCATTTGACTTAGTAAAAACGCATCAGTTTTTGTCTGATCTTGATGAAACTTGATGCAACTGAGTATAAATGTTTATTGATTTATCTTGTTTAAATTTGAATTTTGTTATATTATTATTTTCACAAAAACGGTCCTGACATAGTAACATTGGCTTGTAGATACAAAGAAGTTCAAAATTTTTAGACTTTTAAACCGTGTCAAGTTTGTCCAATTTTAATGCAATTCGAAATAAATGTCTATGTTGATGAAACATTGTACATGTTTGAATTTGATGATAATTTGATAAAATGTCTTTATACGCCCACATAAAATGTGGAGCGTAGATTGTCGTCAGTCGGTCCGTCCGTCCGTCCGTCCAGGATTTGCTTGTAAACACTCTAGAAGGCACAATTCTTGACGGATTTTGACGAAACTTGGTGAAGTTGTTTATTATCACCCAAGGATAATCCCTATTGAAAATCAAAAAGATCGAAAAATATTTAATATGAGTTATTGCCCTTGTTCTTCAAAATGCGTTCAATTTTTATCTTGTAAACACCCTACATGCCACAATTCTTGCTGGATTTTGACCAAACTTTGTGAAGTTGTTTATTATCACCCAAGGATGAACCCTATTGAAAATCAAAAATATCGAAAATTATTTGATATGAGTTATTGCCCTTGTTCTTTTTTTTTTTTTATAAACAATATTTTATTAATACATTAAATGGATTGGGGAACAGGCTTATGCCTATATAACCCCTCTCCATAGCCCTTGTTCTTCAATGTTCATTTTCAAACAAAGCTGCCAGTGGGCGTATTTTACCTTGCCTGGCAAGCTATTTTAGCTATTGTCTTTACTTATGAAATATGAGAAAATTCACTAAAGACTTTATCATTTCTGACAGCTGATGGTTGGTGTATGTTACCTTTGCTGGGCAAGATATCTTTTATAATCTTCAGACGTTCCATTCAGCCAATGTGTGGTTCCTTCACCAGATTATGACAACACTGTATCAGGTTAAGTTATATGAACCACAGATATCATATGGGAAATCTGAATGGTGCAAATAGAAGCTATGACCTAAGCTTTATTACTTAAGATACACATTCATAAGCCATAAACCTATTTACCTCAAACAATGTTATTATTTCTATGATTTTTTTTCCAGCCCAACTAGAAGTTAAGTTAAGTCATTTACTGGAGGAGAAAGAGAAATTATCAAGTGAAATAAGAGAACTGCAGTCTAATCTCCATGTAACTAATGATGAAAGAGAAAAATTAAGTCAGATTGTAACTGACTTACAATGTAGTGTAGATGAGGTAAACATCGATATTTACACTTTCAAATACATGGAATTTTCTCATAGGAAATATATTCATTCAGAGCTTTATTTAACATGTTTGTTATGATAGTCAAGATTGTGCCCAAATTAGCTGCGCCCGAATCAGGAAAAAACAGAATCAAACTACATGTACTCGAGCATTGCAAAGATGCCAACCATAATGATATATATGGTTAAATTAGGATGGTGTGAGTTTGGGCATAATTTCATTCTGATTTCAGAACATTTTCAGCTGTAAAGCATACATGTGTACTGTACTTTACAGTAAAGTTAGAATTAGATAAATTTGGGGTACAATAAATGGATTACTATTCTGACAGAGCTTCTTTAGCTTTATTTGTAAATCTACTTTATGAATGGTTATCAAATCTCTAGTTACAAATGTTCAATGATCACGATTCCAATTAATTTAAACCATTTGATTCCATCTAAAGAATTTAATGCTTAGTTTACTAGTACCAAAATATGTACCACCAAACACTTATTATTTATTTATATCAATACGGATGGTCTTAAAAAAAAAAAAATTGGTATATGATTACAAAAAAGTACTATTTATTAAAAATTAAATTTTGAAACAAAATTGCCTCGCAATATATATCAAAACTTACTGAAATTTCTTGATTATCTTTTCTGAAAGATCCAGATTTTTGTAACCCTTTACATTTTTATACGGCCATATGAAAATGTGGCGTATATATTGCCTTCGTCTCTGCCTTTCGGACTGTAGGTCAACATTGTTAACATAGATTAGTGACTAGATACCAGAAGTTGAGTTAGTTATGTAGATCCAAGCTCCGCATAAATACAGGAAGTAGATATAAGATATGAAAGGATGTCTCAGTTTATAATATGACTAGTCCAATAAGCATGGCCTAACAACCATTTTGTCATCATCAGCTCATCTATATGTTTGTGTTTGTAATGTTCCCCCGGGTTTTCATACACCCACATTGGCATTGATATAAATTGCTGTCCCCCTGTCTGTCGGTCTGCCCTTCTTCCATCCACATTTCTTGTAGACATGATATAGGCTACAGTTTTTATACGCCCACTTCTCTCTATGTGGACTTATATTGTCGGCACCCCTGTCCATCCGTTGGTCCGTTTGATGGAATCAAATGAAATTCGGTATGTGTATACATACTATTTTCGACCGTTAGAAGCAAAGTTATTTCCCTTGCCCCAAAGTCTTGAATATTTACCACCCGCATGCCATGGTGGGTGTATATGGCTGTGGTCCACTGATCTTAATGAAACTTGGTATGTATAGTTCGAAATTGGTAACAATCGGAAGATCACTTTCGGAGTTATTGTCCTTAAATAAGTAAAATGCATCAAATTTGGCTTCTTGGCATAATAGAGGCTACATTTTTATCGGATCTTGATGAAACTTAATATGCATGTTAATATTGATGAGATCTTGGTCAAGTGTGGAATTTGTAATGATCGAATGAACGGTTTTAGAGTTATTGTCATTGTGTAATGTGTATGTCAATGAGACCTTGTTCATGCTTGAAATTGATGAACTGCTTTGACTTGTAAATGTTCTTAAGATTATTTGAAAACTCTTTATTAAGCCACTAAAGACTTTGTTATCATTTCTGACATCTGGTATTGGACCTGGTAAGCTCTCTTTATGTATTGTCTTTCATCATATATGTCTACATCACAATAAATATCATCAACTAGATATGACTTTTCAAACATTTCTTGTGATCACAATAGAGACTACAGTTTTTATACGCCCACATGGAAATGTTGTCTAATTTCCCATTTTTATCTGATCTTGATAAATCTTAGAATGCATGTGTATATTGATAAGATTTCAGTCGAGTTCAAAATTGGTAACACTCGGATGAACATGAAATCACATAAGACAAAGTACGTAATAGATAGCTTGACAGTGTGAAGATGAGTTTTTTGATACATATAGATTCATAAAAAAATAAAGTGTAAAAATTCCTTGTCAACATTCCAGTATCTTTTTACTTACATCATCTCATTTACTCCATGTTCTTATCAGTTTATCATCAGATATTCAAATTTCTTCTCCTACAATCTAGCTGTTAATAGTTCAAAATATTATGAACCTTCGGTGTGCCATGTGTTTTGTTAGTGGACCAGCTTTCACACAACATTTTGTTCAGTTGGAACAACATTTTAGATGTGCCTATTTGAATGTTCTATATATTTGCAGAACCAAGTTCAACATGATTTAAGTCAGTCTGGACTGATCACTAGTTTACAACAGGAGGTAGAGAAAATTAGAGCGAAGAAGGATCAGTTAGAGAAAGATGTAGACGAAGGCAGGTGTAAGATTATAAAGCTTGAAGAAGAGAACAAAGCTAATCAGGAAAATAAATTACAAAAAGAAACTGATATTGTAAGATTTATTTTTTTTAACATCAAAGTAAAATAAATGTCCCTCTGTCTACTATTGGGTGTCCTGGATGAGTTTGAATTTATTGGTTTTTGACTAATGGACCTTGATTTATCAAAGATATGTCAAAAATGTCAAGTAATAAAAGATACAGTTTTGATCCTGATTTTGACGAAACTTGTTATCATTATTTTATTTGTGGGATCTCTGATGAGTTTTACTAATTTTTTATTGAATTTGGATTGTGAATAGTGATAGGCAATCGGAAGAAAATAATAATCGTTTAATCGAAATAATCAGAGAGGTTTAATCCATTATGTAATCAATTAATAAGCAAAACAGGCCTCATTAAAATGGCTTAGAATAAGATGTGAAATGGACATGAAGTGACAAGGATTGATAAATTAATTTCATAATTGATTTGTTAATTGATGCAGGTGATAACAATGCCGATAAGATAGGCCTATTACAATTTTAATTCATACTGTCCAGTTGTTGAAAGCATGATTCATTGTTATTGAAATGTCAATTCCTTTTTTTTTTATTCTTGATTTTTACACACCTTCATTTGTTTAGACTGCAGTAGTTGCAGCAACATTTCTACATCTGTAGACCTTCTGTAGTGGCAACGTTGTTATTAAATATAAATTGGAACAGTTTTGCAAAGCCAATATTTGCACATTTGCAAAAAGTAGAAAATCTGCTCTAGAGGTCTTATTTTTGGATCGATTTTCTTTGGAATTTCATATTTGGAATCTGCATGTAAAAACGTGTCAAATTTGGCTAATATGCAGGATAGAGACTACAGTTTTTATCTGTTCTTCATGAAACTTGGTATGCATGTATATATTAATGAGATCTCAGTCAAGGTCGAAATTCGTAATAATTGGATGAATGATTTCGGAGTAATTGCCCTTGACTTACTAAAAACGTGTCAAATTGCGATTGTAGGCAAGATAGAGACTACAGTTTTTATCCAACCTAGATGAAACTAAGTATGCATGTATATATTGATGAGATCTCAGTTGAGTCCGAAACTGGTAATAATTGGAAGAATGCTTTTGGAGTTATTGCGCTTGACTTAGAAAAAACACGTTATATTTGTCTTGTAGTTGCGATAGAGGCTACAGTTTTTATCCAGTCTTCATGAAACTTGGTAGTGGGCGTATGTTACCTTGCCTGGCAAGCTGTCTTAAGATTAATTGAAAATTCATTATTAAGCCACTAAAGATTTTGTTATCATTTCTGATAGTGGGCGTATGTTACCTTGCCTGGCAAGCTATCTTTGCAATTTTTATCTTGTGACCTTGACTTTTGATTACCCTGACCTTTATAAGGTCATAGTTCATTGACGTTGGCTATCAGTTGTTACTTTAACATTTGACTTCCGACATGTACTTCCAGTTTTATAGCCATATTGGCAACTTTGGACTGCTCTAGAATGTGACCTAATTTACCTAGAGGGTTAATTTTTTCGGATTCTTAATCTAAACTTTAAAAAGTTAGCAAAATAACGGAATAAGATGTGATCGAGATCTATTTTCGATGTTTCTGAAGAAGGCAGTAAGCCGAAACGTCAAACAACAGGACAATAATATAATTTATTTTGATTTTTCAAAATAGGGTTCATCCCTTGGAGATAATAAACAATTCCACCAAGATTCTTTGCCTTCTAGACGGTTTATGTGCTAAATATTGAAGGCATTTTCAAGAACAAGGGCAACAACTCATTGATTATTTTTCGATATTTCTGATTTTCAATAGGGTTCATCCTTGGGTGATTACAAACACTCCACCAAGTTTGGTCAAAATCCGTCAAGAAACCAGCTTGTGGACAGACAGACAGACAGACAGAAAAATAGACAGACAGGGGTGCTGACTTTTAATGTGTGGTGATAAGTCAATGTAATTCAAACCAGTGATCTTTAGTTTTCATTTAGTTTGACGCAATGGACACAAAATATATGTGTAATCTACTGATTAATTTTTCTGACCTGTACACATGCATGGGAGTGAAAAGTTTTTGTCAGAATTATATTAAAATTGAAACTTTTTTACGATTTTTATACGCCCATATACGCAACATGAAATGTTAAGCATATATTGGCGACACCCATGCGTGTCCGTACGTCTATCAGTATGTCCACAATTGCTTGTACAAGTCACAATTCTTGACGGATTTTGATAAAACTTGGTGTGAGTGTTTGTAATCACCTCAAAACCCTAGCGAAAATCAGAAAAATGGCAAAATATTTTGCCCTTGTTCTTAAAAATGTGTTCAATTGCAAGCTCGTAAACACTGTACAAGGCCCAATTCTTGAGGGACTTTGACAAAACTTAGTTTGAGTGTTTGTAAACACCCAAGGTTGAACCCTATTTAATATCTGAAAAATCAAGTGTTTTCAATCTAACATCAAAGAATGAACCCTAATGAAAAATCATCTACATTAACGTATTTACACTACAGTGTACTTTGTGTTATCCGACATTCTGCGTAACCCGAAATCTTTAGTTAGTTTAAAAACCTCTGGGTATTCCGACACTCTGTGTATTACAAATTATGACATTAAACAGCGGCCCAGACACTCAGAAACTTTGTTTCATGATTTATCACAATTATCATCTATTATTTTTACAATGTCTTACCATTCTGCGAAGCATGTCCCATAATTATGTTCCTCTGAATATGAATCAGCAAATTATTGGTGATTGTGAAAAAAGTTTTGCGCCCAACACAGAAAGATTCAGCTATGAAATTTGGTTTCGGTCAAAGAACAGTATAAATATGTCTGTGTCACATTTAAGATTTTCAAATTGCCACTACTGAATAAATTGTATTTGGGTGTTTTGCTGTTACTTTTCGTCTGACGTTACGGTACATGACAATCATTTTTGACCTTTTTGAAGTGCCTCCCTTTAAAAGCGTACACTCTTGCGCAATGCAGAACTCCAAAATGGCTTAAAACGGAGATTTATCCTACGAAATAAACACTCCCCTCTGGAAAAAATGACCCCAGTGCGTTTGATAGAATGAATACGGTAGGGAAAAAATCAATTTCATTCAGACATCTATTGTTATATTGTTATAGATACAAGAACTGGAGACATCATTAGAAAATTCAGAAACAGAATTGACTTCACTAAAACAAGAATATTCTGAATTGAAAGCAAAGTCTGAAAATTTGAAAAGGGATAAGTTTGAAAGTATAAAACTGAAGATGACATTTAAAAAGCTTTTTGCTTTCATAAACATAACACAGTTTAGCCAAGAGGATTAAATGAATACTGAATACAATGAAAAATTCTCAAAGTTATAGCTATTGTAACTCCTAACCCCACTCTGTGCTTACATATTATTTCTATTTTAATGACTTTATATTTCACCTTTTTAATGACATCAAATTTTAGCTTTTTACATCATTCACTTATGACTTCACTATTTTATATGGAACTGTGTAAAGTAGCAATAAAGTAAAGACACCTCTAGCAGTTTTAAGGCTTGACTTCATAGACATGTATATAACTATGGTGATGATGATCGCTTTGCTCACGTTTTTGCATACATGTTAACAAGCCTATCAGCGGGAATATCAAAATCAAACTACAGACTAAATTTTGTTTACTCAATTGTCCATTTTGTACACTGACCTAAATGTTTACCCGTTTAACCCTTGCAGCTTTAATTACAGATAATTAATACCTAATAATGATGTTCAAATTCATACATACCTATAGGAAATTTATTAAGAGAAAACAAACAAAAACACTAGAGACACATGTAATGAAAAAATTCTTATGGATTACAATTACTAACTTTATTTGAGCGATGTTTCGACCAGTGTTCTCTGGTCTTTATCAAGACGATTCGACCAGTGTTCTCTGGTCTTTATCAAGACGTTTCGACCAGTGTTTTCTGGTCTTTATCAAAAAAAATGTCGCTCAAATAAAGTTAGTAATTGTAATCCATAAGAATTTTTTCATTACATCCAACACCTTTACTAAATGCCATTCAAAGATCATAGAGCCACATGTGGCACAGAGTGGGACTTTGCTCATGTTGCAAATAGCAAGAGACTCTGAAAAAATCAATGTTTTAGGTTAATTAGGTCACGTGCCAGAAAAGTCTAAAGAAAGGCAATTTTTCTCTTTAGAAGGTTGTGAAACAGGAAGTAGAAGTCAGAAATGAAAGTATCAGTGAATAGCCAAGGTCATTGTCAAAAATTGAAATTATGGAAATTTTTAAACCTGTTACTTTTTTTGAACTATAAAGCTGAAACAGCTGAGCTTTTAACACAAACTGGCCAAATGGATGAGGTAATTGTGTGCAAAGTCCCATTTTGAACAACATAAACTATGCGAATTATGATTTAAACAAATTGCAGTTTAACCTGAATGTGCCACGCCCACCTCTACTTTTTGTCATAGTTTTATTCATATTCAGAATGTCTAGTTGTGTTCCAAATTTCTAGCCTCAACACCAAATAAGTCATAATATATACATGCACTAAGCTCAAAGAGACACAAATACTGTAAAAAACACTCAAATTAAAAAATATTACAAATTTCTATTTTGCTTTAAAAAAACTTTTCTTTAATATCACTGTTTTTGGACATCTATAAAACCGAAAGTAGATGTTGGAAGTCAAATATGAAAGTATCAGCTGATAGTATAGGTCAGTGACCAAAATCATCAAAATTGGATAAGCCGTATTGTCTGAATAATAATCAACGCATTTCAGAAAAATCAAAATGGCGACCAAAGTATCATGTTCATGTTCGGACCGGATTATTTCTTCTGTATTTTTTTGTCATAACATTGGCTAGCGATTGGCTTCAACCGGAAGTGAGAATCGATTTCATGTTTAAACGGGAAGTAAAGTAAAAAAATTTGTCTTTGCTCAAATTTTTTTTAATTAATCAGACAGAAAGCCAAAAAAAAAATTTTTTTTTGTAAAAAATTGAAAAACTCTGCCGTATTTCCAATTTTTTTTAAGTGCTATCATATCAGAAATTACATTTAGATTTCAGAAATGAAAACCGAAGAAAATTGACCAAAAAATGCGACTTTTAGGGCTGATTTTCTACTTTTTGCACATGTTGAACTGTGGCACATTCGGTTTTTCAAAAAAGTTCCACGTTGCCACTACAGAAAGTCTAGGAAAGTTGAATGGTTGCTACAACTATTGCAGTCTAAGCACAGGAAGCTGTGTAAATTTCGAAAAAAAAAAAAGAATTTACAATCGAAAACACAACTAGGGCCGCACGTGGCACAGAGTGTGACCATAGAACTGTAATAGATGGAACACCAACTCATCACTCGGTACATGACGTCATCGAAATATGTTCTGCAGCGCGTGCGCGAAAACTTAGAGGTAGTGTTTATTTCCAGTCGCTTGTCAAACAGCAAGATGGCAAAGGCTAGTGGATCTTACCTTTACAATCTGAATGAATTGTGTAATGTAAGTAAAGTTTTCTTTTAGTTAAAATCTTAAAACAGTTAGCATTATAATATGAGATTTTATTATTGAAGATTGAATTTTATTCGTTTAATCGTTGGTTTTGCACTTGTTACTGTGTGCTTTTGTAGACAGTCATCAAGTAACATGATTGTGTTGTTAATGTTACTACAGATTGGAAACTTCTCTTTTTTTTTGTCTTGTTAAACACATCAAATTAGACTTTTTGGACTCTTTTTTTTAGGATGATGAATTTCTGAAGTATGCAGTAGGCCTACCACTCTGTACATTGCCAATTCATAGCAGGTAAGTGTGTAAAAAAGATTTATGAATTGGTCATTGAAATAATGTGATAATCATATTTAATAGGCCTAATATCAAAATATATTATTCTTTTTAGATAAATTTAACCAATCAAACATCTTGTTGAAATCCTATGTAATTTAATTAAAAAGTTTTTATTTTATTCAATAGGTAATGTTATGTGGAGGTGGTTCATGACCAGTATTTAACATAAATTTTGGATCTTGCGTTGGGATTATTCTTACCTGTAGTACATAATGTGTCTGTCATACAATTATTACATCGGAACTGTGCTCTACAGACCTTCGTCACAGTAAGTGTGCATATGTTCAAAGTTGCTGCCTGTAAGATTGACAGCTAACTACCCATCGGCACCCAGGAGAAAATGTAATGGGTGGGGCAGCATTTCATGATTTATTACTTAAAAGGCAGTGGTGATGTACAAAAATTGCATCAAACCTGAAACTAGGAATTTTTCTTTCTATTTCTTTTCTGTATATATGGCTGAGTCGCAAGAAATGACTAGTCATCATTTTAACATTCAATCACGGAAAATTCTGGACACACATGGGTTTCAAGACTCAAATTTCCAAGGTGAGCTGTGAACACTGTTACTGATCAGTTCAAATGTATATCTTAGACGACTTGAAGTTAAAATAAACTGTCTTGTTTGACATACTCTTTAAATCAATCCTTGCATTTGTAACACCCAAGTATACAACTTAAATAAATTCTCGAGTTTGGATTCTTTTAACTAAACCAATTAGCCTTCTTTAGGTCGTTATTCAAGACTATTTTCATCTTTAAGCATTAAGTCTCTGATAATAGGAACAGAATATCCAAAGGTTATTCCTACAATAGAAAACATCAAGATGATACCATTCGGATATTCCAAGCAGGTTTCCCCCTGTCAGTGATGCAGGTAAGAGGGCTGACATGGAAAAAGCGTCTTGACATACGGATGGAACAGTAAACCAAGGCCCTGTATGCTACAGTCTGTGCACGTTAAAGATCCCTTGACAGTTGGAAATCAAAAAAGAGCAGGCTGATGCTGCTGTCCTGGCAAAATTTCCCTCATTGCACCCTGCATGGCAGTGCAAGTCTTCATTAGTCCACATGGTGCAGAAAAGTAGGTCGTAAAACTCAATTCATTTCATTTCTTTTTACAATAGAAAACACATTTTTACATTTCAGATAAAATATAAAAGAATCTGCTCTACTCAACATTATTCAAGTATGTGAGATATAACTTTACATCAACCAGTGACCATTCTATGTATTTATTATCTACGGAACACAAAATGAATGTATCAGAAAGCTTACATGATCAGACTGTCACTGTTTCTGGAATATTCTCAACATCTTCTATACTAAAACTGTCAAATCTGAAATAGAATCTGATTTTTTTTACAATTCTTAGGAATTGATTTGTATGTTAAATCTTGAATTAAATTTTACATATCACAATATTATGTGATACTGGTACTGATTTTCTAAATTGTTGATTAATTAGAAATGTATCATACTGAATAAAAGAAAATAAGAAAGATTTGTGAATACTTACAAAATTTATCTCTTTTGTTTGATAAAGTAAACAGAAATAAAATAGGAGACCATTTAGGAAAGACAAACAGCTACAAATCATATATTGAAAGATGATGCATAATGAAATGGCAAAAACAATTGTTAACTTGTGTTAATGTGACATATCACATATACAAAAATTGGATTGAACATTTCAAAGTACTCCTAGACTGAGTAAACCAAAAAGGTTTTTTTTAAATTTTTTCTATATTTTTAAAGAGAATTAGAAGCCTCAAAATAGTACAGTTCGTCTGTTTATATTGAAAAGAAACACCTTCTCCTTTTCAATCTAAAATTTTGGCTGAAAATTTTTAAGACTCGTGTGCTCAATTTTACATTTTGACAAGCAACCGGAAATAAACAATACCGCTAAGTTTATGCGCATGCGCTGCAGAACATATGTCGGTCACGTGACGATGTATAAATTTAAACAAAACTGTCCGTGGGTGAATGTTAGCAAATGATAGCAAACTATCTATTATCATGTAATAGACACTATGAAAGAAGATATAATCTGTCTAATTTTTGTCTTTTTAGTTACAGCAGTTACAGTCATCTAAACAGAAAATTGAAAATCTTGAGGAAACTCTGAAGACCACTGTTATCACTTTAGAAGAAACAACAAGAAACCTTAATGAATCTGCTGTGAAATTATCTTCAACAGAATATAAAGTGGTAAATTTGGAAACAGAATTAACTAACAGCCTTGAAAAATATCAAGCAGAATTACAAGATCTTCGTGGAAGGAATGAGGTCCTTGAAGGCGATGTTCATTTCCATCAGAATGAAAGTGAAGAAAAGTCTAGGTGCATTTCAGACTTAAAATCACTAATCAATGTTAAAGATTGTGAAATTGAAAATTTACAATCAATGGTTCGTGAAAAATCAGATAATTATGCTGAACTTGAACTTCATGTGAAAAAAATAACTCAAAAATTTGAAATTGCTGAAGAGGGTCAATCTATGAAAGGGGTCGAATTTGAAAAGAAATCTCAATCATTATTATATCAAATATCTGATCTAGAGTCTGAGGTCCTTGAACATAAAAAAACTACTACCGAATCGCAGGGCACTATATTAAAACTTCAGTATGAGTTAGACAATTCCAAGTCCGAATGTAGTGCCATGACTAGTTTGCTTTCTGAAAAGGAAGGTGAGATAACGAGTCTAAGGTCTCAACTGAAAGAGTTAACTTTAGGTGAAAAATCTGTATCAAATAAACTTGAATCTGAAAAAAATGCTGTACAAACTCTGCAATCTGAAAATTCTTCTCTGAAATCATCCATTGAACAACTCAAATCTGATCTTAGTGAAATTGACATTTTGCGAAACAATCTTAAAACGAGATGTCAAGAACTATGCAATGAGTTGGTTGTGAAGGAAGACATTATTGCATCTTTAAGAACTGAGGTAAAGAGTGTGTGTGACATCAGACAAGAACAGGAACATGAGCTGCAATCCTTAAGAGCTCAAATTGTGCAATATCAGAATGATTTAGAGCACAAAGATTCAGAATTTGTGATCATCAGTGAAAAATATGAAAGTGCGAATAATGAATTACTGTCACAAATCGAATCTTTACGAGTTGAAAAAACGAAATTATTAACCCAGTCTAAAAGTGAAGTTGAGCATCTACAAAAGACTCTGTCTAATAAAGAACAGAATTTGACTGAATTGAATTTATCAATGGAATCTGATACCTCTACTATGAAGCTTTTATTTGAAGACAAAGACATGCAAATTCAGACATTAGAAAAAGATATTGAATCATTGATAAAGGAAAAAAATTCCCTTAATAAAACTGTACAAACTTTGGAATCTTCTCTGTCCACTATGCAATTTGAAGTTAATGGTAAGATTAATTTGTGTATGGAAAAGGACAGCCAGATTCAGGTCCTCAATGCTGAAATTCAAGACTCAATATCAAAGATTCTAAGCCTTGAATCAACAGTTCAGAAAAGTTTAAGTGAAAAAGTGAAATTTGAAAATCAAGTTGTGAAATTGGAACAGGAATTAGCTGAGCATAGTGATCAGGTGAGGCAACTGACAGAAACTAACACTCTTCTTTTACAGCAGTGTGATTCCTCTAAATGTTGTATTATTGAAGTTGAAACTAAACTTAATGAAGTTAAATATGAAAATAATAGTCTCACAGATAAAATTTTTGCTATAGAAACTATCTGTTATAATCAAAATGAAGAATTAGGGGCTAACCAGTCTATTTTAGCAAATCTTCATAATCAATTACAGCTAAGTGCCAAAGAAAAAAATCAGTTAGACGAAAAAATAAAAGGTTGTGCCACAGAAATACAAACATTAAAAGAGGACTTGTCATTCAAAGTAGAAGAGTCTGATAAATTTCAAAAAAATCTAGGAGCTTTAAAAATTGACAATTCAGAACTAAAAGTATTATGTGAAAAATATAAAGTAGACATTGATAGGTTAAAGGAAGAAAATCTGTGTCTTCAGAATAAACTTTCTGTGACTAATAATAAAATTGGTGAACTTAACATTGAATGTAAACAAAAGCATGAAAATATATCCTCTCTCTCCTCACAACTTCATAGCATGACTACATCTCTTGATACACTAACCTCAGACTCTAGCACTCAGATTCAAGACTTACAGAATAAAGTGTACGTTCTTCAGTCTATGCTGGAGGAAAAATCTGCAATTAATCTTGATTTAACAAATCAATTATATTCTGTGAATGAAGAAAACAAATCTATGCATGGAAATTTAACATCAACTCAAAATGCGTCAAAAACCAATCAGCAAAAGCATGAATTGCAGGTTGAATGTAAAAACGTAGAAATACAACAGCTGCAGACAAAAATTGAATGTAAAAACACAGAAATACAACAGCTACAGACACAAGTTGAATCTAAAGACACTCAGTTACAGCAGCTACAAAAACAAGTTGAATCAAATGACACTGAAGTACAGCAGCTACAGGCACAAGTTGAATCTAAAGACACCCACTTACAGCAGCTACAGACACAAGTTGAATCTAAAGACACCCAGTTACAGCAGCTACAGACACATGTTGAATCTAAAGACATTGAATTAGGGCAGCTACAGACACATGTTAAATCTAAAGACATTGAATTAGGGCAGCTACAGGCACATGTTGAATCTAAAGACATTGAGTTAGAGCAGCTACAGGCACATGTTGAATCTAAAGACATTGAGTTACAGCAGCTGCAGGCACATGTTGAATCTAAAGACATTGAGTTACAGCAGTTGCAGGCACATGTTGAATCTAAAGACACTGAAGTACAGCAGCTACAAGAACAAGTTGAATCAAATGACACTGAGTTACAGCAGCTGCAGGCACATGTTGAATCTAAAGACATTGAGTTACAGCAGCTACAGGCACATGTTGAATCTAAAGACATTGAGTTACAGCAGCTCCAAACACAAGTTGAATCTAAAGACACCAAGTTACAGCAGCTACAGACACAAGTTGAATCTAAAGACATTGAGTTAGAGCAGCTACAGGCACATGTTAAATCTAAAGACTTTGAATTAGGGCAGCTACAGACTCATGTTGAATCTAAAGACATTGAATTAGGGCAGCTACAGGCACATGTTGAGTCTAAAGACACGGAGTTACAGCAGCTACAGACACAGGTTAAATCTAAAGATACTCAGTTACAGCAGCTACAGACACATGTTAAATCTAAAGACACCCAGTTACAGAAGCTACAGACACATGTTGAATCTAAAGATACTCAGTTACAGCAGCTACAGACACAAGTTGAATCTAAAGACACTCAGTTACAGCAGCTACAGACACAAGTTGAATCTAAAGACATTCAGTTACAGCAGCTACAGACACAAGTTGAATCTAAAGACACCCAGTTACTGCAGATACAGACAAAAGTTAAATCTACAGACACCCAGTTACAGCAACTACAGACACAAGTTGAATCTAAAGACATCCTGTTACAGCAGATGCAGGCACAAGTTGAATCTAAAGACACCCTGTTACAGCAGCTACAGACACAAGTTGAATCTAAAGACATCCTGTTACAGCAGATGCAGGCACAAGTTGAATCTAAAGACACCCTGTTACAGCAGCTACAGACACAAGTTGAATCTAAAGACACACATATACAGCAGCTACAGACACAAGTTGAATCTAAAGACACCCTGTTACAGCAGCTACAGACACAAGTTGAATCTAAAGACACACATATACAGCAGGTACAGACACAAGTTGAATCTAAAGACACACAAATACAGCAGCTACAGACACAAGTTGAATCTAAAGACACACATATACAGCAGATACAGGCACAAGTTGAATCTAAAGACACCCTGTTACAGCAGCTACAGACACAAGTTGAATCTAAAGACACACATATACAGCAGTTACAGACACAAGTTGAATCTAAAGACACACAAATACAGCAGCTACAGGCACTTTTGAATAAACAACAGGAAGTTGTATTGACAAATAATCATCAGCTTACTATTTTGTCTTCAGAAGTTGACAATCTAAGTAATCAACTTGAATTAGCAACTTCATCATCTCAAAGTTCAATTTCAAGCATGTCAAAGGAACTGAAAAACCAACAGAAAGTGGCTACCAAAACAAGAGCGAAACTAGAAGACACTGAAAAATTATATAATGACTTGAAATTAGAATATAGTTCTTTTTCAACTGAAAGATTAAAACAGATAGAGGACCATGGAGAGCAACTGCAAAGTAAAGAAGACATGCTGACTATACAAGACTCTAAAATAAGCCAATTGCAAATAGAAATTGGAAATTTCAAAGAATCCATTTGTAAGCTTTCGTCAGAAAATTCTTCAGTCAAAGAAATGAACACAACTTTAAATGAAGATTACAAAGATCTTAAAACAACGACAAAGACAATCATTGATGACTTTCAACAGCAGATTAGCAATTTGAAGCACATGATAGAAAACCTCCAAAAGACTATTGATTCTAAAGACTTTGAAATAAATGATTTGACAGAAACTTTGAGTATCAGCCAGAAAACTATAACAGATCTTGAGCAACAGCAAGACAGAAGTGACCAGTCTCAGATTGAATTACGATCCACACTTTACAAGACAGAGGCTGAAATTAAAATATTGAAAGACAAAATTTCTTCTTTTAAAGAAAAAAAGCATGATCAATCTTTACAACATTCTAAAATGGAATCAACTATTGAACAATGTGAAGAAGAAATTAAATCTTTGAATTTACAGTTAAATCATAAAACATCTGATTCGAAGAAGATCATTGCCAAGTTAAATCAAGATTTAACAGAAAAAGAAGAAGATTCTTTGATCATGCATAAGCTATTGACTGATACCAAGGCTAAATTAGATAATGGTAAAAAAGAAATTGAGAATCTCACAAAAATTTTGTCTGCTACACGACAGCATTTGCAAGAACAAAATACACTGAATGAAACCAAATCTAATGACATTGAAGAGCTGACTTTGATTTTGACAGAAAAACAGAAACAGTGTGATGAACTAAAAAATGATTTAAGCAGAAATCAAAGTGCACTTGAAAAGACTCTCACTGAATTACTTGAAAGTCATAATGCTTTGTCAGTGAATAACTCACACATGGATGAAAAGGATACCATGATTGATGAACTAAAAGACAGTCTGCAGTCTGCAAAAGACACTATTTTATCTCAAAGAACTGATGCTAAACAAATGGCTGAAGAATTGAAAATTGTAACAGAGTCCTCCAATGGTTTGGTACAAGAAAATATGGGATTGGAGAGCAATATTAAAAGGTTAGAATTGGATTTAGCTGCATCAAAAGAGTATTTGACATCTACCATGACAAGGCTTGAAACACTGGAGTCAGAAGAAATTGCTTTAAAAAGATTAGTTGAGGAAACTAAACTGATGGTCAAAGAAAAAGAAGATTTAACAGAAGAACTGAAAATACAAATTGAAAAATTGGACATTAACTTAAACAACGAAATAATAAAATCTGACATCTTATCATGTGAATGCACTGAAATTATCCAAAAAAACACACAGTTGACAAATCATGCTTTCAAAATGGATTTAGATAAACAAAAGATGAATATGGAATTAAACCACAAGAAACTCAAGATCTGTCAAACTGTTGATGAGGTTGAGAAAGTGAAAAGTGATCTCCATGAATTAACAAAAGATTTTGAAACTAAGCTGTACTTGTTGGATCAATCTCATACTCAGAAACAGAAATTAGAAATCGAGTTATATGAGGCACATCAAAGTGTAAGTGAAATTAAGGCCATCCAGCAGCAATCTGTTGACTCTAATCTGGAGCTTGAAAAGCAATTAGCAATCCAGAATTCTGATATTCAAGACTTAAAACAATGTCTTAAAACTGCTAAGAATGAGGTTGAAATGTTATTAAATGAAAATGGTGTTATGAAGCAAAAAATACAGTACTTTCAAAATGAACTTTCTGAAAAAGATAAGTATGTCGGCAAGTTGTCTCAAGAATTGCAATACTTGAAGATTGAAAGCAAGCAACTTCAGCATTATTTAAATGAAACAAAAGAAACTACCAAAGAACAGTTGAGGTCAGTTGGTAACTCAGCCAACGAAAAAGTCCAAATCATTGAATCCTTAGAAAGTGAAAAAGCAATTCTAAACAAATCACTTCAAGAAATTAAATATGATGTCAATAGATTAACTGCAGAAGCATCTGAATCTAGATACCAAATTGTTGGTTTGGAAGAAGATAAGGTACAGCTAAGCAAACAGTTGGTAAAGTTGCAAGAAGAAGTAGTTAGTATTGAGTTGGGATTGAAAGATTCAAAAGACCTCTGTTGTGAACTTGGAAAGAAGCAGGAACAATACTTAAAGACCATTCAAATTCTTACTGATTCTGAACACAGTATGAGATTAAGTTTAGATGAGAAAAAACTATACATTGTAGAACTGGAAAAGAAAAATTCAGATGTAGAAAAGTACCTCAGGGAAGTTATACATAAAAACCAATTTCATTTGTGTGAGAAACAGCAGGAATATGAAAAACTACTTTTATCATTGTCTGAAGAAGGTTCTAAAACATCACAACTACAAGCTTCAAGTGAAATTCTAATCAGAAAAACAGAAGAATATCAGTTACAAATAGAAAAGTTGTCTGAACAGCTACAAATTCTTCAAGAAGAGTTGTTAGTAAATGAGAGCAAACTTTCAAACTCCCAAACTGCTTCTCTAAACCTAACAAGACAGTTGAATACCAGTAAATCTGAGAATTTAGAAAAAGAAGATACTATTCTAGAGCTCACCAATGAACTTGAAATGATTGAGGAAACTTGTGAAGAACTTAACCTTGAACTTAATTCATCTAGGGAAGAATTATCAAATATTAGGGAAGAAAGGGGCAGATTGAAACAAGAAGCCAAAGTCCAAACATTAAAAAATATTGAATCAATAAGCAGTTTGAAGGCTGAATTTGAAGAAAAGTGCTTAAACACTCAAGCATCATACAGAGAGCTACTTCAAAAATCAGAGAAACAAGATAAAGTGATTTCTTGTAAAATACAGACTATAGATGAATTGGAAACCAAAATGATGGATACATCTGAAATTATTCAACAAATATCAAGAGAAAAAGAAGAATTGGTTTCTAAATTGAATCACGAAGTTGAACGCAAATCAATAGAAACTTCAACGAAGGAAAATTTGTTAAAAAAAATAGAAGAATTAGAAGAGCAATTGAAGACAATGGAAGATGTTATTATAAAAGATAAAGTGGTAAAAGAAAAAATCACATTGAAGATGCAATTGGTTGAAGAAAACTTGCAGATTGCTGCCTCTCATGATGAACAGAGGATTCTAGAGATAGAAAAGCTGAAGATTGATCTTAAGGACATGGCATCTAAGAAAACATCACTACTTGAAGAAAATCAATCCTTGTCTGCAAAATATGATGCTTTACAGACAGAACTTCAGATTATAATAAGTGATAGGCAGGCACTGTCGGAGACATCTGAAAGAGAGAGAGAGTTTGATTTGGCTCAAAAAACAATTTTGCAAATGGAATGGGAGAAAGATTCTGATGTTGCTGCATTAGAAAATACTGGTGAGAAAAAGGACTTGGCAGCTGTTAAGTGCAAAGAGATCATTAAAAACCTATCTCAACAACTGGAAGGTAAAGAAGAAACGAATACAGATCAAGAGAAAAGACTTCTGAATACGTCATCACAACTATTTGAGTCTGAATCAAGTATAAAAAAGCTGCTGAATGAGAGGGAAAATGAAAAACACGAAGCATTGGACAAGTCGAAGTTTGTTCATAGACTTGAAATGAAAGAATTGGACCAGTGTTATGAAGAGAAAATAGTCCAAAATGACATTCTGGTGTCACAGATAGAGAGGCTCTCAGAAGATATGGTTTCTCTGAGAGCAGAAGCATCTGTCACTTTTAGATTTAAAAACTTATATAATCAACTATTTCAGAACTTCGAAAGCCTGAGCCAAAAACTCAAAACATACCAAGAAAAAGTTGAAGAATTGCAAAATCATTTGCTTACCAAAGGAACAGAAATAGAAGAATCACAGACTTTAATAATAAACATGAGAATCAAACATAGCAAAGTTGAAGATGAGTTGGTTGTTATGAGAAATACAAATGATGAACTTAATAGATTGGTTTTGAATGAAAAGGCATCCTCAGAGGAATCTAACCAGAAGCTAGAATCACAGATACAAGTTCTATCAGAGGAATTAAATGACAATAGGTTAAAAGAGCAGTCGTTATGTGCAGTAGTCAGTAAGGTTATTAAAGAACACTTAATACAGAAAGCAGTTTTAATGGAAACAAAAAGAAAATATCATGATTTAAAACAAAATCAGACTATTATAGTAAAAGAGAATGAAGATTTAAATATGAAAGTTAATGCTTTAAAATCAGATTATGACTCCTTACAAAACTCAAATTTGAAGATGGAAAGTTCAAAACAGTTAAATGAATTAATGGAGAAATATGAAACAAGTCAACAATTTATCAAGGAACAAGAGTCTAAATTAGATAATTTTCAAAGGAATTTTTCAACTTTAACAGAATCTAAAACCGATCTTGAAGGTCACCTGAAAGAGATGGAATTAGAAAAGGATCAGTTAATTGTAGAACTGGAGCAAGCACATACACAAAATAGGAATCATGATGAAATGTTGAATGGAGTTAAGGATACCAATACCAAATATGAGGAATCTATTGCATGTCTCTATCAAACTATAGCAGATAAAGACTGCGAAATCATGTTCCTGACGAAATCTTTGAAAGAGAGAGAGGATAGTGTAAGTGCTTATAAAGACATAAATTATTTTTTTAAAAGATAAATATTAGATAATTATAGGCCAACAGTATAAGAGTCAATATGCATGAAGCTTTAAAAAAGGG